CGCCTGGGTGGCTCAGTCGTTAAGTGTCTGCCTTTGGCTCAGGTCATGATCCCAGGGTCCTGGGATCGAGCCCCGCATCGGGCTCCCTGCTCAGCTGGAAGCCTGCTTGTCCCTCTCCCACTCCCCCTGCTTGTGTTCCTTCTTTCACTGTGTCCCTCTCTGTCAAATAAATAAATAAAATCTTTAAAAAAAACTATCATGCGCTTGCCCCATCCTCACCCTCTGTGCTAACCCCAGGCAGCCTCTCCCTGTGTCCTCTCCTTCCATCACAAGTGAGGTCACCATCCCCGTGCACCCCTAAGCCAGGTCTAGCTGAGCCCTGACAGCCCCTAATCTCTGGCTCTCACCTGTACTTGCTGTGAAGGTTGACCACGAACACGATCAGGTCAATTCGGGGCCGATTCACATTGGAGGGCAGGGGGAGGGACCTTGCCAGGTGGCTGAAAAATGAGAAATTGCAGGATAAAGATATACATACCCACATCACAGTGAACTTTCACATGCTGCCCTCCATGGGGTATGAGGCTGTCAAGGGCTCCTCGCCTATTCCCCGGAGGCTCTTGTGGGCTAGACTCCTCAGGTGAGCATAGGGACAGGGCAGAGCTGGTCCTATCTAGACTGACTCCTTCTGCCAGAAAGGAGCTCCGTTTGGGAACCACGTTGACAAGAGGGAGTTCGGGATAATAAGGTGGCATGGGGCTAGCCAGCTACACTGCATGCTGGGAGGGAGATCAGGCTCAGAAGAGGGGTGTTAGACTGTGAAGATTAGGGGTTAAGGCTGAACCCCTTTGGAGGGTGATGGAAGTAGGCTCAAATCTCAGGTCTGCCAATTATCAGCTATGTGACCTTGGGTAAGTCACCCTCATCACTCCCGTCTGAACTTGTTCCCTCATCAGAGTCTTTCAAATGCTGTAATGGGGTTTATTCTCGTAGTGAGGGGTATTTCTGATTCCCATGGAGGAACACCCTGTAGACTGGGATCCTTCTCCTTCAACATGAGCCTCTGGAGCTTATCTATCAGGGAGAATGACACCCACATATATCCAGTCACCTGATTCCCACCAGCAGCTGTTTCTACTCTCCATCAGGTAGAAAAAGAAAAACAGAATACTACTTCTTTAGTCAACTTTTCTTGACTAAAAAGTATCTGGGGGGTATCTGAACACTCCTCTGTGCCAAGCACTGCTCAAACCACCGGGGATTCAGTAGTGAAAAAAGTCAAAGTCCCTGACCTCAAGGGGCTGACCTGGGGGTCCATGGGGGTGGCAGACCGGAAACAAGTAAACAGGTGAACAAGGACATTTCCTGTGGTGACAAGTGCTGCAGGAAAACAGAAGTGTGTGACAGACAGTGATGGAGGATCCCTTATCTGGGGACGGATCACGCCTCGCGGGCCTGGCCCCACCTGCGCCCGCCTCTCTGGCAGCTCTTCCGCTCGCCCTCCTGGGCAGCCCACAGTTCAGGCCACCGCAGAGCGATCGGACACTCCCAGCCTCGGCTACTTACACCTTCAGCTCCGAGGCGCAGTCCTCCTTGAGCATCGAGTCGGCCAGCTGCTGCAGAAGAGCATCTTCCGTGCCCACCAGCTGCCCAGGGAGAGAAGGCGGCCTACTGATGTCTGGGCACAGCAGTCCCGCCGGAGGGCCTGGGGATCAGGCCACAGACCGAACAGCGCGCGACTCCCAGGATTCCCGCTCGCGCGCGCAGGGCGCCCTTTACCGAGAGAGGGCTCCGCCAGGCACGGGTTGAGGGCCCAGCCTGCAGCCGCTCCGGTCCTGTCCGCACAGCACTTCTAACCTCCCGGTACACTCCCTCGGGCGGCCGGACCAGCGACCCCGGGAAGCACATTACCGGCCCCGCGCTGAACTCAGCCTCCCGGGACCCAGCCCAGTCTCCCCGCCCAGCAGCCCCACCAATCACAAGCGGGGAAAGAGCCCGCCGCGCACCTATTGGTGGGGGCGTCCTTCAGCCTCAGAGGGAGGCTACTTCGATTGGTTCAGAGTGTGGCTCTCCCGCCCACCACACCCCGGCCTGAAAAGCGCGCTCCAGAACCTGAGAGAGCGCAGAGGAGCGGGCAGCGGAGGCGCAGCCAAGGAAGGAAGGCGAGCGGGGAAAACGGAGCAGCTGACGCCTACCAAGATGGTGGCCGTGTTCAGGCCAGGCTGCTTGTCCAGCGGCCGCAACACCGACATCCCAGCCACTGGCAGAACCGCCACTCCTGCAGCGCGCGCAGATCTTTCAAACCGCGCAGAGGCCCGCCCTTAAGTGAGCGAGCGAGGGCCACGTGACCATAATCTGGGCGGGGCTTCGCGGGACGGGGTGGAGCCCTCTTAAAGGAACCCCTACCTCCTTTTTTGAGGGGAGTTCCAGCTCTGGCCCCAGGCTCTTTTTTTTTTTTTTTTTTTTTTAGAGAAAGAGACACAGCGAGAGCGGGAACACAAGCAGGGGGAGTGGGAGAAGGAGAAGCAGGCTCCGATGTGGAGCTTCATGCGCGGCTCGATCACAGGACCCTGAGATCATGACCTGAGCCCAAGGCAGACGCTTAACTACGGAGCCACCCAGAGTCATCCTTTTTAAAACAGAACAAAAAATAAATAAATAAAACAGAACCTGATCAAACCCCACCGACAGTTCCCACCCCATTCAGAGTACATTGCAAATGCCTTACATGGACTTTGTGGCTCTATGCGTTCTGATCCCTGACAATCTCCCCAACCTCATCTTCTTCCGCTCTTCTCCCTCTTACACTCTTCTGGTCACACGGCCACTAGGCTGTTCTTCAGATATTCCAAGTATCCTCCTACTTCCTGCCTTGTCCCTATGGTACCCTGTAGCTGAAAATCTCTTCTCCCAAATAGTCACTTGGCTTGTTTTCTCACTTTGTCCACGTTTCTGCTCCAGCGCCACCTTATCAGGGGGTCCTTTCTTTTTTTAGAAAAAAAATTTTATTTTAAAAATTTTATCTATTAATTTTATTTTTTATTTAAAAAAATTTTAAATGTTTATTAATTTTTATTTTAAAAATTTTATTTATTTATTTATTTTTTTATTATTTGACAAAGAGAGACACAGCGAGAGAGGGAACACAAGCAGGGGGAGTGGGAGAGGGAGAAGCAGGCCTCCCGCCCAGCAGGGAGCCCGATGCGGGGCTCCATCCCAGGACCCTGGGATCATGACCTGAGCCGAAGGCAGACGCTTAACGACTGAGCCACCCAGGTGCCCCTAATTTTTTTTTATTTTTAAGATTTTACTATTTTAGAGAGAGAGAGCATGAGCATGAGCAGGGGGAGGGGCAGAGGGAGAAGAAGACTCTCTCAGCTGAGCCTGACATGGGGCTCAATCCCAGGGTCCTGAGATCATGACCTGAGCTGAAGGCAGATGTTTAACCGACTGAGCCACCCAGGCGCCCCTAATTTTTATTTTTTAATTAAAAAAATTCTTAGAGGGGCCTTAAGAATTCTTAACAATCCTATCTAAAACAGCAAGTCTTGGGGAGCCTGGCTGGCTCAGCTGGTTGAGCATGCCACTCTTGAATTTGGGATTGTGAGTTCAAGCCCCACCTTGGGGGTAGAGTATACTTAAAAATAATAAAAATAAATTATCAAAAAAACCCCTCCATTATCTTTAAAAAATATCAGGTCTCCCCCATACTCCTTGTCTTCCTTTTTCTGCTCTATTTTTCTCAACAGTACTAATCTCCACTTCACATGTGGTCAAGAACTGTACAGCCTCTGAGATTGTACAATATTTACAAACTAATAAACTGTTACTGTTCAGTATTGTTTAGTAATAGTGTGTTACTGTTTCATGGATGAAACTCCTGAGTAAGAGACAAAGCATTTTGTCTAGTTTGTTTCCTATTACTCATGGTAAGAACAACAGTAGCAGGGGCTTCACGTGTGTTTGTGTCAGTACTCCATGTCCCCCGAGCCCTGCAAAGGACCCACCATGGAGCCCTATAGACCTCATGGATGGCAGTATAGAAGAGGAACACAGGGATTAGAGATTCACCGCTTTTTTTTTTTTTTAAGATTTTTATTTATTTTTGGGCGCCTGGGCGGCTCAGTTGGTTAAGCGACTGCCTTCGGCTCAGGTCATGATCC